TTCAATAAAGAGCTGTTTTTTAAGAAGCTGTGCTTCCCAGCTTTATCTCACCAAAAGCCATGACGTACCAACCTTGACGGATGTCACTTCTGTTTGCTTTTGACAGCTGTCACTTCTAAGTCTTTTTTAAACCAGACAGCACTCTACAGTTCTCAGTTAACATTCAATCTGTATTTTCAGCACATGTAAAAAGAGTCATCTAAGATACTCTGTGGAACCAAAAAGTGCTATTTAATTCTTTCACAAACCCCTGAGATTTAAAGATCTCTAAAGGAAAGAAAACATTTATTTTATTTTCTATGTGCTCATTTTATTCTCACAATTACCTCCTCAGTTAGACATCACATACTTGGGATGGAGCCACAACAATATATTTCCCACCAAAAATGCTTCCCGTAGGTGACACTAATGTTTCTCCTCTTGGTGAAACTGTGTATAGCTTTATACCAGCCTTCAGCATGAATATGTGACAGAACTCATTGTGTGACTGCCAAGGTTACAACATCAAGGATGGGGAAGGAGGGAAGCTCAAGACAGGGGACATATGTATACATATAGCTGATTCACTTTGTTGTAAAGCAGAAACACAACATCGTAAAGTAGTCACACTCCAGTTTAAAAAAAAAACAAAACGCAATACTGCTCCCAGCTGGCTTTCTCATGCTCTCAGGATACTTGCCTTTGGAACCTGCCACCTGACTGGGAGTAGGTGTTCTGCTTGCAGCCCCAGCGACATCTCCAGCTCCAGCTAACAGGTAGCATCAACCACCCGACCCAAGTGACCTGGTGAGCCTTCTGACTGCAGCCCCGCGCCTTCAAGTCTTCCCGGTGAACCCTCAACAGCATGGACTGGAGCAAGCCATTCCCCCTGAGCCCTATCTGAATTATTGAGCCACACAAACCATGAGATAATGATTACTGGGCTTCCATGGTGGTCCAGAGAATCCCCCTGCCAATGCAGGGGACAAGGGCGTGATCCCTGATCCAGGAAGATTCCACATGCCGCAGAGCAACTAGGCCCAGGTGCCACAACCACCGAGCCCATGCGCTATAGCTACTGAAGCCCGCACACCCTACAGCCTGTGCACGCTACAGCCCGCGCGCCCTACAGCCTATGCACCCTACAGCCCGCACACCCTGCAGCCTATGCACCCTACAGCCCGCGCACCCTATAGCCTATGCACCCTACAGCCCGCGCACCCTACAGCCTATGCACCCTACAGCCTGCGCACCCTACAGCCCATGCACCCTACAGCCTGCGCACCCTACAGCCCGCGCACGCTACAGCCCATGCACCCTACAGCCCGCGCGCCCTGCAGCCTATGCACCCTACAGCCTATGCACCCTGCAGCCCGCGCGCCCTACAGCCCACGCGCCCTGCAGCCTATGCACCCTACAGCCTGCACGCCCTGCAGCCTGCACATGCTACAGCCCATGCACCCTACAGCCCGCACACCCTACAGCCTATGCACCCTGCAGCCCACGCACCCTGCAGCCCACGCACGCTACAGCCCGTGCACGCTACAGCCCACGCGCCCTGCAGCCCACGCCCTACAGCCCGCGCGCCCTACAGCCTGTGCTCTGCAACAAGAGAAGCCACCACAGTGAGAAGCCCACTCACCGCAACAAAGACCCAGCACAGCCACAAATAAATAAACCTTAAAAACAAGTACATGATTACTATTCTTTTAAGTCAGGAAGCTTTTGAGATCATTTATTTGTTACACAGCAATAGCAAATGGAAACACTTTACAAATAAAACACACAGGAAGATAACCATGCCAGCAAGTGGCAAAGGCAGAATTTGAATAGTCAGTCCATATATAAAGCCCCAGTTTTTTTCTACCAGAGGGTATTGCCTCCAAGTTTGCTCAGAGTTGCCCACATTTCCAAAGAAAACAACAGTACTCAGATTGAAAGCTCTAAGAGCAATATATACTTCCCCAAATTAGTATTTTCAGTTAACACTCAGGACAGTAGGTCATTCCATTAGCAGGCTCAAAATCCCTGCACCTCTGACTCATCAATATCTTTCCCACCCTAGTAACAGCATCTCCTAGAGATGCTTAAGAAACATCACTATGTCAATAATAACAAAGCTCAACATTTACAGAACATTTCACAAAGCACTTTAACGATCACTAATTTGATCTTCAGGAAACCCCCCTATGAAACAGATAAGGCAGGTATCATACAGACAAGGCTCAAGAAAGGTATAACTAACTAACTACAGGGCTTCCCTGGTGGCTCAGGACAGTTCAGTTGCTCAGTCGTGTCCGACTCTTTGCGACGCCATGGACTGTAGCACACCAGGCCTCCCTGTCCATCACCAACTGCTGGAGTTTACTCAAACTCACGCCCATTGAGTGGATGACATCTCATCCTCTGTCGTCCCCTTCTCCTGCCTTCAATCCTTCCCAGCATCAGGGTCTTTTCAAATGAGTCAGTTCTTTGCATCAAGTGGCCAAAGTACTGGAGCTTCAGCCTCAACATCATTCCTTCCAATGAACACCCAGGACTGATCTCCTTTAGGATGGACTAGTTGGATCGCCTTGCAGTCCAAGGGACTCTCAAGAGTCTTCTCCAACACCACAGTTCAAAAGCATCAATTCTTCAGTGTTCAGCTTTCTTTATGTCCAACTCTCATATCCATACATGACCACTGGAAAAACCAAAGCCTTGACCAGACAGACCTTTGTTGGCAAAGTAATGTCTCTTCTTTTTAATATGCTGTCTAGGTTGGTCATAACTTTGCTTCCAAGGAGTAAGCATCTTTTAATTTCATGGCTGCAATCACCATCCGCAGTGATTTTGGAGCCCCAAAAAATAAAGTCAGCCACTGTTTCCACTGTTTCCCCATCTATTTCCCATGAGGTGATGGGACCATGATCTTAGTTTTCTCAATATTGAGCTTTAAGCCAACTTTTTCACTCTCCTCTTTCACTTTCATCAAGAGGCTCTTTAGTTCTTCTTCACTTTCTGCCATAAGAGTGGTATCATCTGTATATCTGAGGTTATTGATATTTCTCCCAGCAATCTTGATTCCAGCTTGTGCTTCCTCCAGCCCAGCATTTCTCATGATATACTCTACATATAAGTTAAATAAGCAGGGTGACAATATACAGCCTTGACGTACTCCTTTTCCTATTTGGAACCAGTCTGTTGTTCCATGTCCAGTTCTAACTGTTGCTTCCTGACCTGCATATGGATTTCTCAAGAGGCAGGTCCAGTGGTCAGGTATTCCCATCTCTTTCAGAATTTTCCACAGCTTATTGTGATCCACACAGTCAAAGGAGTTGGCACAGTCAATAAAGCAGAAATAGATGTTTTTCTGGAACTCTCTTGCTTTTTCAATGATCCAGCAGATGTTGGCAATTTGATCTCTGGTTCCTCTGCCTTTTGTAAATCCAGCTTGAACATCTGGAAGCTCACGGTTCACATACTGTTGAAGCCTGGCTTGGAGAATTTTGAGCACTACTTTGCTAGCGTGTGAGATGAGTGCAATTGTGTGGTAGTTTGAGCATTCTTTGGCATTGCCTTTCTTTGGGATTAGAATGAAAACCGACCTTTTCCAGTCCTGTGGCCACTGCTGAGTTTTCCAAATTTGCTGGCATATTGAGTGCAGCACTTTCACAGCATCATCTTTTAGGATGGTGGCTCAGTGGTAAAGAAATCTGCCTGCCAATGCAGGAGATGCAGGTTCGATCCCTGGGCTGGGAAGATCCCCTGGAGTAGGAAATAGCGACCCATTCCAGTAATCTTGCCTGGGAAATCCCATGGACAGAGGAATCTGGTGGGCTACAAATTATGGGGTCACAAAAGAGTGGGACACAACTTAGCAACTAAACAACAACAAACTACCTACAATAAAGTAAGTAGGGATTCGATTTCATATTTTCTGACTCCACGTCAAGCACTCTTTTCAACTCAATTCAACTCACCTTGAAAGAACTTTCATGGAGTGCCTGTGGGTGTACTTTCATAAACAGCACTGTCTCTGCAGCTATTCTGAAGCAGCTACTTGGCACAAAGCATCATGGTGGGCACCATGTATTCTCCACTTTCAGGAATGGCACAAAAACATCTCTGATAGCTGATCTCTATAAAAAGCCAGTCTTTCCCCACTCTGATCCACTCTTGACACCACCATCCAACAATCTTCCTAATTGACTTCCTTAATCACAATAATTCAAAAACTGTCAAAGATGACAACTTCCCATAAAAATAGAGGCCAAATCTCATCTGCTTCCAAAGTCTCCTATAAACTGACTCTAACTTACCTGGTAATTTCCCTGCACTTGCTAAGAAAAATTGAATTAATCTCTTCCTTCCTGTCCACGTTAGCTTTCTTTATAACCTTCCTGCTCTCCCTTTGGTTCATATGATCACTCAAACCCAGAAGTGAGGCTCAAGTATTTCATCCTCACCTCCTGACAGAGAGTCCCTTCCTTCCAAGACCTTAAAATTTACTGTTGAGCTATAATTAATAATTCAAAACAATATACCATAATTAAATTAGGTGGCACAGATTATGGCTCACAGTGACTTTAAGGAGAAGAATCCACTAGGGGCTGCAAGAAAGTCTTCAGGAAGAAAAGAACACTTGAAATGGGTTCTGACTGACAGGCTAGGATAGGAACTGGCAGAAGTAAAACCACCCATGATGAGGAGCAACTGAAAAGCCTTCCCTTCTTCCCATTTACATCTCACCTAAGCCTCCAGCCAATATCGTCTCCTTCAGGAAGCCTTCCTCAGGAACTTCACAATCTAACCAACATTCTCTTCTCTGCGCTTCTAATACCATCACTGTACCACCCATGACACTCAATCAGGCCCTCAGTCCTTCTATATTATATTAACAAACCTTGTCTCACTGATCTGGCAGCAATATCTCCACATAGAAAGCACTCAATATTTGTTCAGCTGAACTCAGTTCAGCAGCCACTGTTGCCTTCTGTCTTTTAAAAACCCATCGATCATAACACTGGTTCTTAACTTACCGGGCATCGCCTTTGGAAAGGTTGGTATTTACAGGATTGAGAATAACCTTGTTTGCGTCTACATCCACCACACATTTGGTGTGCAAGTCAATTTCTGCAGATTGAAAAAACAAAAAATGAGTCATTTTTGAAGCAGTGGATGTCAGAAAAAGCATTTGACCAAAAAAAAAAAATCCAACACTTTCAGAATAGAAACAGTCAACAAACTAGAAATAGACAGGAACTTCCTCAATTGACCTGATAAAGGGAATCTAAAAAACTTGCAGCTAACTTCACACTTAATGGTAAAAGACTGAACAGCCTACCTACTAGCATCAGAAATAAGACAAGGATATCTATACCTGAAACACTTCCCTGGTGGCTTAGAGGGTAAAGCGTCTGCCTGCAATGCAGGAGACCTGGGTTCGATCCCTGGGTTGGGAAGATCCCCCGGAGAAGGAAATGGCAACCCACTCCAGTACTGTTGCCTGGAAAATCCCATGGACGGAGGAGCCTGGTCAGCTACAGTCCATGAGGTCACAAAGAGTCAGACACGACTGAGAGACAACACATATACACCAATAAAAAAAAAAAAAAAGACGAGAAGGATGTCTACTACTGGGCCTATTCAAGGATATACCAGAATTTCTGGTCAGGGCAGTTAAGCAAGAAAAACTAACATAAGGCATCCCAACTGAAAAGAATAAATAAAACTACCTTTATTTGCACAAGATAGGATCTTATATATAGAAAATCCTAAGAATTCACTAAAAAGCTACTAGAATAAACAGGTTTTGCAAAGCTGTAGGATATGCACTCAATACACAAAAATCAGTTGTTTCCATACACCTGCAATAAAAAATCCAAAAATGAAGTTAAGAAAATTTCATTTATAACATTTTTGATTTATTTATATCAAAAAGATTTAAATGTTTAGGTAAAACCTTAAAAGAAGTGCAAAACATATACACTGAAGATTCCAAAATATTGTTGAAAGAAATTAAACACTTAAATAGAAAGAAATTATATTCATGAAGTGAAAGACTTAATACTGTTAGGATAGCAATAACTCTGCAATACAAAAACTCAAGGCAATCCCTATCAAAATCCCAGCCAACTTTTTTTTTTTTTCCCAAAAGTTAACAAGTTGATCCTAATTCTATGTGGAATTGCACAAGACCTAGAATAGCCAAAAAACCTTGAAGAACAAAATACAAAGACAGCACTTGTCAATTGTAAACTTACTACACAACTACAGTAATCATGGTACTAATAAAAGAAGGACAGATATGTGGATCAGTGGAACAGAGAGTCCAAAATTACAGTCAGATTTACGGCCAAATGACAACAGTGCCAAGAAAATCCAATGGGGTAAGTACAGTCATTTCAACAAATGGTGCTAGCACGCCCTCATCAAAATGAAAAACTTCTGTGCTTCAAACGATACTATCAAGGGAGTAAAAAGATAATCTACAGAATTGAGAAAATATTTGTGAATCATATATCTGATAAGGGACTTGCATCAGAAAATATAAAGAACTCTTACAACTCAATAATTTTATTTTATTTTTTTAATATTTTTTTTCCATTTATTTTTATTAGTTGGAGGCTAATTACTTTACATCATTGCAGTGGTTTTTGTCATACATTGAAATGAATTAACCATGGATTTACATGTATTCCCCATCCCGGTCCCCCCTCCCACCTCTCTCTCTGCCCTATCCCTATGGGTCTTCCCAGTGCACCAAGTCCGAGCACTTGTCTCATGCATCCAACCTGGGCTGGTGATCTGTTTCATCCTAGATAATATACATGTTTCGATGCTGTTCTCTTGAAACATCCCACCCTCGCCTCCTCCCAGAGTCCACAAGTCTGTTCTATACATCTGAGTCTCTTTTTCTGTTTTGCATATAGGGTTATCGTTACCATCTTCCTAAATTCCATATATATGTGTTAGTATACTGTAATGGTCTTTATCTTTCTGGCTTACTTCGCTGTGTATAATGGGCTCCAGTTTCATCCATCTCATTAGAACTGATTCAAATGAATTCTTTTTAATGGCTGAGTAATATTCCATGGTGTATATGTACCACAGCTTCCTCATCCATTCGTCTGCTGATGGGCATCTAGGTTGCTTCCATGTCCTGGCTATTATAAACAGTGCTGCGATGAACATTGGGGTGCACGTGTCTCTTTCAGATCTGGTTTCCTCGGTGTGTATGCCCAAAAGTGGGATTGCTGGGTCATATGGCAGTTCTATTTCCAGCTTTTTAAGAAATTTCCACACTGTTTTCCATAGTGGCTGTACTAATTTGCATTCCCACCAACAGTGTAAGAGGGTTCCCTTTTCTCCACACCCTCTCCAGCATTTATTGCTTGTAGACTTTTGGATAGCAGCCATCCTGACTGGCGTGTAATGGTACCTCATTGTGGTTTTGATTTGCATTTCTCTGATAATGAGTGATGTTGAGCATCTTTTCATGTGTTTTTGTGCCATCTGTATGTCTTCCTTGGAGAAATGTCTGTTTAGTTCTTTGGCCCATTTTTTGATTGGGTCATTTATTTTTCTGGAGTTGAGCTGGAGGAGTTGCTTGTATATTTTACAACTCAATAATTTTAAAATGGGCCAAGACTGGGACTTCCCTGGTAGTCCAGTAATTAAAACTCCATGCTTCCAGGAGGCATGGGTTCAATTCCAGGCTGGGGAACTAAGATCTCACATGCCACATGGAACAGTCAAAATAATAAAACAAAATAGGCAAAGATTTGTACAGACACCTCTCCAAAAAAAATACAAAAATGGCCAATGACCACAAGAAAAGACACTCAACATCATTCATTAGAGAATGGGGAAATGCAAATGAAAACCACGAGATACCACTTCACACTCACTAGCATAACTAACCAAAAAGACATATAACTAATATAGTCAGTGATATTGCAGTTTAAAAAAGAAAAAATAATTAAAGTGTAAATTGGATCATGTCCAAAAAAAGCCAGGTAAGTATAGGTGAGGACATGGAAAAATTGGAACCTATACTGTACTGGTGGGAATATAAAATGGTGCAGTCACTTTAGAAGGCAGTCTGGCAGTTCCTAATGGTGACACGTGGAATTAGCACATGACCCAACAATTCCTACTTACAGAGATATACCCAAGAGAAACCTATTTCCATACAAAATTTTATACATAGAACTTCACAGCAGCGTTATTTGGCTATTCATAACAGCTAAAAAGTGGAAACAACCCAAGTGTCCTTCAACTAATGGATGAATAAATGTGGTATATCCATAAAACAGAACACTACAGCAATTGAGTAGGTACTGACACATACAGTGGCAGTATTATTTTGGGGGGCTCCAAAATCACTGCAGATGGTGATTACAGCCATGAAATTAGAAGACGCTTACTCCTTGGAAGGAAAGTTATGACTAACCTAAACAGCATACTAAAAAGCAGAGACATTACTTTGCCAACAAAGGTCCATCTAGTCAAGGCTCTGATTTTTCCAGTAGTCATGTATGGATGTGAGAGTTGGACTAAAAGAAAGCTGAGTGCTGAAGAATTGATGCTTTTGAACTGTGGTGTTGGAGAAGACTCTTGAGAGTCCCATGAACTGTAAGGAGATCCAACCAGTCCATCCTAAAGGAGATCAGTCCTGAATATTCACTGGAAGGACTGATGCTGAAGCTGAAACTGCAATACTTTGGCCACCTGATGCGAAGAGCTGACTCATTTGAAAAGACCCTGATGCTGGGAAAGACTGAGGGCAGGAGGAGAAGGAGATGACAGAGGATGAGATGGTTGGATGGCATCACTGACTCAATGGTCATGAGTTTGAGTAAACTCCAGGAGTTGGTGATAGACAGGGAGGCCTGGCGTGCTGCGGTTCGTGGGGCTACAAAGAGTCGGACACGACTGAGTGACTGAACTGAACTGATATATACTAAAACACAGATGAAGTTTGTGCTAAGTGAAAGAAGCCAGTCACAAAAGACCATCTATTGTATGATTTTACTTATTTCTAACATTCCAAACAGGCAAATAGAGGCAGAAAATAAACTAGTCATTGCCGAGAGGTGAGGCCTGACTGTCGGCGGGCACAAGCGTCTATTGGGGGTGATGAAGAGGTACTAAAATTGTGCTGATAGTTTTCACAACTGCATGAGTGCAGTAGAAACGACTGATGTGGATGAACTGTATGAAATGTGAACTGTATCTTAAAGTTTTGGGTCTTTTTTTTAATGTATATAGGCCACATCATGTTTTCTTATTTTCATATTCCTCTACATTTCTGACCCAAAGTATGAAACAGCTTCTGTTTGCCTTATCTCTACTACACAAAGATACGCTCTAACGAAAGAAACTGCGCTCCACTGGAGTCATTTTGTGTTTTCCCAAGAACCTTGGCCAAATGTCAATGTCAAACTCATTACAACTTTAGCGTATTTCCACTGCCAGCAAAGAGGATTTATTTTTTGTTTGACTGCTTTAATTTACGTAACTGAGACAAATGAAAAACAAAAATTTCCTTTCCTGTCCTACCAGAACTCAACTTTTCTCATATCAGTTATTTTATCAATACATTTGTTTGCAAAGACATAATCTATAAGTACGAAAAATTCAGTGGTCAAGCTTTTAGCCAATACTTTTTTTTTTTTTTAGCCAATACTTTTTTTAGGCAAAGAGAACTGAAAAGAAAACAGAGCTATGTTTTATCCAGGTGTGAAGACTAACTCCTGAAGGCTTATATTTCACTGTGGTCAACCAATATTAAAGTCTATTCCTAACACTTGTGTTTAAATCCACTCTATACTGTCACAGAAATGCTGCAAGGAAGCCTTAGTCACAAGAAGAAACTTTTCAAGCCCTTATCTTTACTTCTTCCTTTCCTTAGGCCCAGGCTTCCCAGGAGGTTCCAAGGTAAAGAATCTACCTGCCAATGGAGCAGACACAGGTTCAATCCCTGGGTTGGGAAGATTCCCTGGAGAAGAAATTAGCAACCCACTGCAGGATTTTTGCCTGGGAAATCCCATGGCCAGAGGAGCCTGGTGGGCTACAGTCCACAGGGTCACTAAAGAGTTGGACACGACTAAGTGTGCACAAAACGTTCC